AAGACTTGCGTCCTGGTGGACTTGCTCACTGCTGCCACATTGGCTCAAGACTGTCAGGGCACAGCGCCTGCAGGAAACGCTTTTCTCCCTTCCTGCAGGCAATCGCGCGCGGGCGCCATTTTGCGCGGGCTGGGCACTGATGTCGGCGGGTGCTGCGACCATTGCACCGCCTCTTTCCTACGCCCACCCCTGCGCCACCTTCTCGCCATTTCTGTTCATTTCCCACCTGGCCACGCCTGCCGTCGCAGTGCCCGTAAACTGATGACCTGTCCCCCGCGCATGTACTTTCACGATGAGTGCAGGTGCTATGTCGAGCACTGCTGAAATGTCCGCCGCCGCAGCCGCAGCGAAGAGGGCCGCGCCCAAGGCCGCCGCCGCAGCCGGCGCTGAAGAGCAAGGCCAGGGGCGGGAAGTTCGGCAGGGGCACGGGCATTGATGGGCCCATGTCCGAGTGGGAAGGCCCATTTGTAGAGGAGGCCGTCGGGGGCGAGGTGTCGACGTGCGCTCGCGCGATGGAGACGGCGGCCACTAAGACCAAAAAGCTCGGCACCGAGCAGGGCTCGCAGGTCGACAGCTTCACGGGCCTCGCGATCGCCAGCGTGGACTCGAACTACTTGTGCGATCATCCTGTTTCGCAGGGCGAGGTGGGCAGGAACGGGATGCGATGACAGCCTGCGGTGTTTCGAACTCGCCGCCGACCTATTGGTCGGGCCGCGAGGCGCCCTCTCAGCGACACCACCTCAGCGCTGCAGCGCCGAGGAGGTGTTAGTGAGAGGGCGCCGAGCGGTGCGCCTTGTTTGTGGCTCGTGCGTTCGGGTCCACCATGCAGGCGTCTGGGCGCTACTGGAAGATCGGCGCAGTCGACGGCTCGTCGGTCTACTGGCAGGGGCCGCCACAGCGCGACGCCGAGTGGCTGAACAAGGGGAGCTTTCTCTGCGGCGCAACGACCACATGAAGGAGGTCGACCACCGCGGGCGGTGCATCATGATGACGCTGGTGAAGCAGGAGTTCGAATCGGAGGGCGACGTCTTCGCCCGGTGCCCCACGCGGGCTGGTGAACCGCAGACGCTCCCAGAGTACGCGCGCATTCCGCACTGGAGCAGGAAGAAGCATCCAGCGATCTCCATCAGGAGCGGCACAACGATGCTGCACGAGATGGTCCAGACGGTGAAGGAGACGGCTACCGCCTAGGGGCAGAACTTTGAGTCGCTCGCCGTGTCGGTCTGGCAGACTGCACCCTGCAGGCCGCGAAGGGATGAACCTCCCCCTGCAGATCCCTGACGAGCATCTGGCGTTCTGGCAGGACCAACCCCGTCAGGACGGTCCGCTTGGTGGGCTCTGACGCGTGGCCGCATGCGCTGTGCATGGCGAGCGTAATGCGCATCGGGGCCGACGCCGTGAGCCGCACGTGCAGGTGGCATGGCGACGCCCGCGAACCGTGGGTCGCCCGTGCAGGTGGCATCGGGGCCGACGCCGTGAGCCGCAGCCCTCAGGTGGCACGGCGATGCCCGTGCAGGCGCCACGCGTAGTGTTGCGGTTGCTGCTTGTTTTTCAATCGCTCGGTCAACGCGTGTGAGAAAACACGCATGTGTCACACGTGCGCCGAGCCAGACGCATTGTGGCACAGTCGATTGGACGAGAAGGCGCAGTCGCAGCGAGAATGGCGCGAGAGCAAGTGCTCATGGAACACATGCTATCTCACACACACACACAACGTAGCAGAGCCTGAGCTCTGGGACACATTCGCGTCTGATGGACGGAAGAGAACAACAACACACAATCTGTATACCTCGCGCACGGGGCTCGCCTTCGGCTAAAGAGCCTTTATATGGTAATGCCGCTGGTGGCCCATAGCATGAGCAATACAGGTCGGCATATAGGTTGCACATATGTTCTTTGGCATTCCACTTGTTCGTCCAATGGGCCGCGCCGTGGCGTGTTGTGGCTCGGCGACGTCTTACAGCTCCTGTCCCAGCCCACCCGCGTCGCGTCGTTGGTGGCGACAACTCGCGGTGCGGCTGTGGGTGCTGGCGGCTTGCTCGCGCCGCAATCTAGGACGCCCGATTGTAGTGTTGTGCGCAACTGCAGTTGGAACGAAACTAAATATCCCCCTCTTCGCTTCCACGTCTCCAGCCCACGCCCCCCGTCCTCATCTCCAGTCCACCTCCGCTCATCCAGTCCACCCCTCATCTCCTCATCTCTGAAGTCCGCCTCCGCTCACGCAGTCCAGCTGGCCCCTCCTCGCCCACGTCCGCAGCTCCGCTCAGGAGGGGGTGGTCGGAGGAGTTTCGGAGGACCCTGAGAAGACTTTGAAGGTGACTTCTGGATTATATGTAACTAGCCGTCGGAGCGCTACCATCGGAAATTATTCAGTTGGGACGTTTGCATCGGCTACAGCTTGCGATGATGCCAATTGCAACCGATATCATATTGATTTGGCGTCGATGGTTGAGGACCGCGCTGAAGGACGCGACTCCGTTGAAGCTAGATTTTGTTCCGCGCCCGATGTTTCACGATGCGGAGTACAATGGCATGATGGCCGCACTCTTCGACATGAGCCAGCGGCCTCATTGCGATGGGGCATCTGAACGTGGCACCTACAGCATACGGTTTGGCAGAGATTCGCGCGATATTGTCTGGGTACCTTGTCATCGTTGGCATCGAGCACTCAGGGCCCGATCCCATTTCGTTTAAGATTGCCGAGGGCTCTAAATTATCGGGCAACGACTTTGCAGCGAAGTCAGCTGAGGAGGGGCATTCGTTTTGCGCATCCAAGCTTGGTGACGTTGCGCGCCCGCCCGCAGGGTGCATCCTTGCGGTTTCGTCGCCCGAGCGCGCCGCTGGCCTGACGTGGGCGTTGCCTCCGAAGTCGGGCACTGCGAAAGATCAGGTCCGTGCCGCGTCTTCCGCGGTGCCAGGCGCCTTCCCAGCCCTGCGCGGCGCGCGCCATGCGCTCTGGTGTGAAGTGTCTCCAGGGCCCCATCAGCTTAGATGCGCTTCGGGCAGGCGGCAAGGGAGTCCGCGCCTGCGAGCGCGATGGAGGTAGACGGTGGAGAAATGAAAAAAGGGTCTTGGGGGGGGGGCGGATGGCAAGGAGGAGGGTGCGCGCCGATGCGTTCACCAGAGTGGGCCCACGCGGCAATCGTGGGGACGCGATTGTGCGACGCTTTAATGGCCGGCCTTTCGGCCGAAGAACAAAATCAAGATGCCGTTTTAGTTGCGTCTTAGATGCGACCCCATTGGGGGAAATGAAGAGGCGGCGGATGAGAGGGGAATGGCGACGTTCTCGGGGCATGGCGAGCAATGATGAACGCGAACAGAGACGAGGACGAGGAGCGACGAAGTTCAGCGAGGAGAAAGCTAATGCTGACGAGGAGGAGGAACAAGAGGGCAAGGGTAAGGACAAATGGAGGCGGAGGTGGACCAGTACTTCTCAAATACGCTTGAACCGAATCACCACCAGGCTCCCTGCACATCATTCCTCTTCTCCCTCTTCTCGCGCCCTGCCCTCTCCCGCCACCCGCGTCGCCCCCTTCCCTCCTCGGCTGCTCCCGCGTTCCCGCCTGCGCCCGCTGACATTCGTCATGCGCGATCCGTGTTGCCATGCGGGATGGGAGGTCTTTGTCTCCGCTGGGATTGTCTTGGCGAGTGGCGTTGGCGCTGCGGCGCCGATAGAAACAGTGCCCCAGTCGCGTGCGGGGAGACTCCTGCCCCCGTCCTCTCGTGTTTTATCTTTTCCCCGCCCGACCACCCTTCCCTAATCCCAGCTCCGCCCTTCTCTCCTCCATCCCGCCCCGCCCTCTTATCCTCCTTTCGCATCCTGCCGCTCCTCTTGCTACTTTCTTTCATCTTCCTGATAGTTTTCCGCATCCTGCGAATGTCGTGCGAATCGTCGTGCCGATCCCAGGCGAGTGCACATTTGGCTGTTGCACCTCTTCCGCCAGCCCCCAGTTGTCGACATGATCTCTGTGTCCTCCTATGCCACTGGGCTGCGCTGGACGGTAAAAAACAAGTGACGGGGCATGTCTCATCCAGCGTCATTCCTCGGGACATTTTGAGGTTGCTGGGGGAGTCACCGAACCCAAAGGAAGAGCTTTCTTCGGAATACGTAGGTGAGGAAACGGGGCGTGCATCATCCAGCGTCACTCCGCGGGACCATTTTTGTTTTCCGTGGACCTCGTCGCGGCTCAAGGTTTGCCCATATCCTACCCGTGTTCGAAGTCACCACTGTTACCAAGGAATTGTGTCAGGCAGGTTGCAACTTTTGGGAAGTTTAATTCAGCATCGGCGCGAGTATTTCCCCAATCAGAGCTTGCCTCTGTAGGGGTCTTAGCGGATTCATATGGTTAGGTTAGGTTTGCCGCCGATTTCGCCGCACGCTTGGGTGCCCGTGTGCCCAGGGGTGTCTGGGTGCCCGGGTGCCCGGTCGGGTGCCGGGGTGCCTGGGCGTGAACGGGGGTGCCCCGGTGCCCAGGGGTGCCCTACTATAGCCCTATAACCCTATAGCCATATAGCCCTACAGCTCTATATCTCTATTGCCCTATAGCTCAATAGCCCTATAGCCCTATAGCCGTATAGCCCTATAGCTCTATAACCCCATACCCTTATACCCTGTAGCCCTATAGCCTTATAGCCCTGTAGCCCTGTAGCTCTATTACCCCATAGCCCAATAGCCCTACAGCCCATAGAGCTCTATAGCCCTACAGCCCTAAACAGATTATGATTGGGTTTTTTCTCCGGTATCATTAGGCCGAGTCTGGCCTAATCTGGTCTCATCCCGTTGAATATCGTGTTTATTCAGGCTGATCCTGGCTTAGTGCGAGCGTGCTCGTCTGTATCTTTCCCCCGAAGACCTCCTACGGGTTTCCATCCAACCCTTTGCAAGTTACAGCAGCTGTCAGTGTGGCGTCCCTTCCAGTGATGCGATTGTGGTTGGTATCACTGGGTGCAGAGTTGAGCATATGTTCTTCCACCTTTCCCATTGTCAATCAGTGCCCGAGGCCGAGTCCTTGATTAACAAGTTGGAAGACAGGCAGAGCGGCAACCGCTATGCCCTGATGGCCCGCGCCGCCCAGAAACGCCGCGAGAGCTTGTCCCCACAGTTCAGCAGCTCGGCCATCGATTGAAAATCAGGGAGCGCAGAGAGAGGGAGGGCGAGGTCGAGCGACAGATATTGAGACTGTGAGCGAACGAGAGGGAGAGAAAGGGAGAGAGAGAGAGAGAGAGAGAGAACACATAACAATAAACAACAAACGGGAACGAACAAACATGATGTGGCACTAGTATGAGGAGAGGGCCCCAGCGCAAAGGAAATTTGGGATAGAAGTGGAGGATGGGAGGATGGGGGGCATGAGGAGGAGCAGGAAGGACGGGATGGACCACGGATGGCAAGGAGGAAGGCATCACGTGCAAGAGGAGAATTCATCGAGGGACGCGGGGGTGAAGGCGGCTGAGAAGGAGCACGAGGGCCAGGAGGGCGAGGATGGCCAAGGCCGAAAAGGAAGGCGAGGGACGGCGACTCTGTTGGATGAGGGCGATGAGGACGAGGAAACGACGACGTTGTCCTCGTCCTCGTCGCCTTCCTCCTCCTCGTCCACGTCCACCTCCTCCTCTTCATGTTCTCCTTCCTCCTCCTCGTCCTTATCGCCCTCCTCCTCCTCCTCCCACTCGTAGTCACTCCGTGGACGAGGAGGAGGAGGACCAGGAGGTCCAGGCCGAGGGTGGCAGAAGGGGAAGGGTCCGAGAATACACAGGCGCACGATGCGAATGCGGTTGCAGGTGTTGATTCGGGGGGCGGACGAGGTGAAGAGGAAGGCGAGGAAGGAGGATATTGAGGAGGAAGGGAAGGATGGTTTTATTTGCAGGAACCAGGGCAGGGGACGGAGTTCGAGGAGAAGGGCGAAGAGGAAGCCAAGATCGGGGTGAAGCTTGGTAGACGTAGCTTGGCATCGCTCGGACGTGTGCATTTTTTTGCCGAGGACCATCGAGGAGCATCCTGGGTCATCTTTAGAAAAGTAAGCGCAGGCAATATCATGATGCGGCGAGTGGACGTCCGAGCCATGGCAAGGGGGGGAAGCACCATAGAAGGAGGGGAGGATCTCCTGTGGAGCAGCTCCCCTTCCTCGGGCCGCTCTGCGGCCACGTCTGAGGCATGGGGGGGGGGTGCCCTTGTCGTTCACGCCGCGCGCGCCACGGAAGGAGTGGTCAAGACCAGAATGCGGGCTTGCGGCGGGGAGATCCCGTGCATACGCCAGGGCGTCCCGCTTCCTGCTCGCAGGGCGCGATCCGTGCCACCATTTTGTGCGTGCGCGGCCGTGGCTCGGTCATCCAGGGGAGTCCTTTGCAGATCTGCACCGAGCACGGGCAGTGGGCGGAGGCCGGATGGGGGATGCGCGCCCAGGTTGTGACCATGGTGCCGCTGCTGCCGGGCCAGGATCGCCGCCCGCGCTGCACGGCTATGCCCCTGCTCGGGCGGAAGAGTTGCCAAGGAGGGAGGGGAGATGGCGGGAGAGGGGCTGGGGAGGGGGAGGGAGGGAGCGCGGGCATCTCGCGCTCGCTTGCCAGTTCCGTCGTTACAGTGCATTCGATGAGAAAGCGCCGATTTAGCGTCGACTCGGGTCGAGTTGGCGTCGATTTGGCCTCGACTCGCCTCGATCAGCCTCGGTTAACTTCGATGAGAGTCGATTTAGCGTCGACCAGCAAGAGCCAGCAAGACACCGAACCATGTGTGCGCGCCTGCTCAACCTGCGTGGGAGGCAGGAGGAGGGGAAGGAGGAGGGAGGATGAGAAAGGAGGAGTGGCGGGGACCTCAGGTCTCCCAGAGGGAGGGATAGGCAAAGGGAGGGACATCCCGCGGTGGGGGAGGGAGAGCCACGGGTACGGCAGGAGGAGGAAGTATCTGCAGAGAGGTTCAAGGTCACAAAGTGTATCGGTCGCCACGGTCACGGGCGGTCATCGGGGCGATGGAGCTCCGCCCACGCGAATTCACGTCAAGCCGCGAAGGCGCTTGGATGGTTCGCGGCGGGAAGACGTGGTTGCGTTGATCCTCTCCTTCGGCCAGGGGAGGGGCCCAGCGGGGCCAGGCTGGGTGGGGTGCGTGGCGTCGCAATACACCCGACGTCTTGGTTTGTTTCAAAGCGTGGCTCCCCAGAGGTCTGGGCCCCTTCCGGGGACAGGTTTTTTATCTTGAGTTGTTCTAGGGCGGTCCTAAGGTCTAAGAGAGCCCCTGGAAGCCGAAGACAAACAAAACCAGTAGGTTTTTTGTCTCCAGGACGCGAGGATGTCAGGGTCGTGGTGGCCCTTTGCGGTGAGGCTCGGGCCGGGGTCTTGGGGTTCCCTGGGCCAGTCGCCGAGGATGCCCATCGGTGGCGTTGGGCTGGATCGCGCAGGGTCGCACAACGAAATGATCGGCGCGTGCGGCGATCTTTCAAATCAGGCCGGACGAAAGGGCAGGATAGGGCAAGGGGGGTTTACGCAATTTGCTACGTGCAGCTGGTTTCGGCCCTGCCGCTGGGACCATCTCTCGATACATGGGCGAGGAGGCGCAAGGAAAACCAGCTATGTGAGCTGATCCTCTACCTTACCCTCTGCTGTCCTACCCTTTCGCCCCCCGGTTGAAGTTCCTATTGGCGTCTGTCAGGGGAGAAAGAGGAACCTATGATTACTGCTAGACTTCCCTCGCCGGCACGGCTGGATTCGCCTCCGAATTCCTGTCAGAGAGCACCCCGGGGAAGGTCCAGCTATTGTTTTGAATGTTTTGTTCCCCAGCCTGCAGCAGGTATGGTACTTCTCTGACGTTGCTCTTTGCCTTGTGCCTGTGCAGTATTGGTTGGTGCACGGTACGGTGGGCTTGGTGGTAATGGGTTGGATCTTTGCATTCACCCTCCATTTGACCACCGATCCCGTCGCAGTAGCGTTCGCTAGTGCGAAACCAATGCATCGAACGGTGTTGGTTGCTGCTGGTGTGGATCCTCTCAGCTGCAGCCGCCGCCAATCAACCGAGGAAGACGGCTATACGGTCAAAACGCTGAGATAAGGGCGACATTGGGCTCAGGAGCGTTTCTGGTCTTCGTGCCATTCCTCTGATTCTGGGCGGGCCATTCGTGTTCGTTCCATCTGCAGCGTTCCTTCGAGCAGCACGGTGACTACACCGCATCGGCGCGCAGTCCCGCAGGTGCGAGCGCCGTGCAGCACGCCTGACGCGGATGCCGCCGTGGCAGCTGCCGCTTCCGGCCCGGAGGGCGCCACGCGCACGGCCACCGCTGCGGCCGCACTGAGCACGGAGTTGCAGTGGAGATCGCGCCGACTCCCCCGAGACTTTGGCGTGGCATTTTCTTCACAACGGGAGTTTTCGCCAGATTTTGAACCTCCGGGCTCTTGCAGACCGTTCCTGCTCGACACGGCTCTGGTCTTGATTTCTGGCGATGTTGAAATTTTGGTTGCGACGTCGGATCTCAGGGGAGTTCCAATTGAGGTCGCCCCGACTCCGCGTTTCAGCGTCCACTCCACCGGCCTGGGGCCTAACAGGCGTGCTTAACGCGGAAGTCAAGCGAATGCCAGGGTACTCTTAGTCTGGACGAGGGCTGTGCCTCCTGCCTCCAATGTTTCGAGCCTCCCACGCAGCCTTTGAGCCCCCTGTCATCCTCGGCCCCCGCGGGCGGTTTGAGACCGAGCTCCGGTTGCGCAGCACAGGACACGCGGTCCGAAGACACGAACGGAGGCACCGTCATTCAGCTCGGTCCTGCATGGTCTTGCTCTGTGGCGATGCCGCCCCCTCCTCGGCAAGTCACGGCCACCCAGCGAGTCCGACGCAAGGGCCAGCAGGCGTGGCGTTGGTTTCTCGAGGAGCGCCGCGCGAGGCTGCGGAGTTTCTCCGGGACGATCGGACATCACACGTTCGAGCTTCGCTTTGCTTCCTCTCCCTGGGGTCCACCAGCTGGTGGTCTGCGGATGCGTCCGCCGAGGAGGTGCTGGTGCACTACGGTAGGCACTACGAGAGGGACTACCGCGTCGGGAAAGGGCGCGCACTTCCTCCGCCCTGCGCCTTCTCCGCGCTGTGCTTCTCGTTCCGCGTGTGTGCCATCGCTTGTCTGTTTCGCTACCCTCGCCTGCGCGCCTGCGCGTGAGAGTGACCCTCCGCCAGAGTGATCTTTGGTGCGGGCCCACAGGGGTCTTCTCGGCACTGGCCGCCGCGCTTGGATCTGGACCCCCCGCCGCCCCCTCCCTGCCGCGCACCAGAGGTCACTCCTGCTTTGAGTCACTCTTGCGTTTTGCCGATCGCCTCAGGGTGGTTCCTCGCTGACGTGGCCGAGCGCCTTTCGTAACATTGCTCCCTAATATCGGGGGAGCGTAAGACCCGGGTTTGCCAGGACTCGGGTTCGCCATCGTTTTTTGACGACCGCGACTCGGATTTTGACGAGGAGGAGTTTTGTGGGATGTCTGCAGCGGGAGGCCTCGTCAAAATGCAGGCTCGGCCTCGTCATTTTTGTTGACGACCTCGTCGGGGATTTCCGAGTCCCCCGTACCCGGGTCTTACGTCTCCCCGATAATACTAGTGCCGCGTCGCTAGATGGCTCGCACTGTGGTAAACACGGGCCGAGGGAGAGATCCACGGGTGGGACTGGGAGCCGATGACCGCCCCCCGAGATCGCCCCGTCCGGGAGGCGGTTCGCCTGAGAGTTCCTCACAACATATCGAGGCATCGTGCTCTCGCCTCCATACTAGCTGCATTTTGGTCCAGACGACCGTGATCGCCACTTTTTCTTTGGCCGACCTCGGTCTCCTCGACCGCCTCTGCACTTTTTTGCTGTCACTGGAGTATTCTGCTGGGGCATGAGTGTCATCCTCTGGCGCGTAGCCGTCGTTGCCTGGGCCAAGCCCGCCCCACCAGGGTAATGGTAACGATCGTACGCAAGGGGTGGCCTGGATGGCTTGGATCCCCTTTCCCACGTGCTGATGCTCGTGCGCATGCTCAGGTGATCGCAGCGCCCCCTCCCCGACGTGCCCCACCCCGCCCACGCGTTACCGTAATCTGGCCTCCCCCTCGGGTTGCGATGAGCAATCTCCAACAACCATCATGCCATGACCGCTTACATGGGTGTTTTCGAGGTTTGGTTCTGATCAGATCTGGCTCGGTGGTCAGGGGCCTCGAGGCCGTTTTGGCAGTATATTGAACCCAGGGCCTCTGGGCCGTATTGGGGCTCTTATTGGGTCTTGAGTTTGGACCAGGTTGAAGCTGACTTTGGGCCCCCTTGGGGCCCTTTCTGGTAAAGCGACCTTGGTGCTCGTCAGTCTGTTGAAGCCGTCTTGGGCGTTCTGGAGATGTGGTGCCTTGGATCTCCCGATCTCCTGGGAGTGCGGAGCCCTGCCCTTCTCGCGCTCCAGCTTAGAGGGGTCCCGTCGGCCGTCTGAGTTGTCTGTTGTCTCGCGGCCAGCGCGGATTCGACGCAGACTCGACACATATTCGACACGGAGTCGACGTTCGACGTGAATTCGACTCACATTCGATGCGGATGGCGGCGCGAAAGAACAGATGAGCCGCCCCCCAGATGCCGTTTCTGTTGATAGAAATGTTGCAAACAGTTAGGGCCGATTCAGATTGCACGGTCGACAGGGGTTGAAAATGGGGTTGGGACGGCCTAGCAGCAGTAGCAGGAATACTAGAAGGAGCAGGACAATTGAGCGGGACACTTTTGAGCTGACAAGCGTCCAGCCCATTCGCTGAAACTGCACACCGACGATCCACTAATTTTTGGGGCAGGGGAGAAAACGGAGGAAAAGCAGCAGGATGAGAAAGACGCGGCGGATGAGCAGGAGGTGAGGAGCAGCAGCATGATGAGAATGAGGGAAAGTCTCCTGGTCAGAGGAGGGACAACCTACCCCGCCATAGCGTCCAAGCGGAAAAAAACATAGCACCGTGGAACCTTGGCGGGACTTCCAGTTTACCAGCACGCGAGTCAGCAACCCTTAGCCGCAGCGTTTCATTGCCAAGCCGAGGAATTCAGAGATACCGTCCCAAACTACCTTTGGCAGTTTACCATGATAACTTAGCACCGTGCCGGGGAAGCTAGATTCGTATTGGGTAAAAGGGAATTGTAGTAATGTACGAAATGCGCTTGGTATTCTAGCAAATCCTTGGCGCTTCGCGTATCCCCACCAGCCCATCCAGGCACGATCGGAGGTGTTATTGAGGCCTTTTGGAGGCTATCTTGAGCCATGTTCGGCCAGCGGCTGTCGGAGGCTATCCTGAGCCATGCTCAGCTATTTTGGAACATCTTGATGCTGTCTTGATGCTGTCTTGATGCTATCTTGAGACATTCTCGTCCTCCTGGGACCGTCTTGGGGTAGGGGGAGGAAGTGGCGGAGGAGTAGGAGGAACAAGAAATAATGAGGAGGGGGAAAACGAGGAGGAGGAGGATGAGGAGGAATGTGGTACGAGGAAGATGAGGAGGAGAAGGAGGGAGGAGGCAGGAAAGGAGGCGGGAAGGGGTTCTTGATGGACATCTAACCTCAAGAAGCAATTAAGAACCTCCCCCCCCTCTCGGCGAAAGTATAACGCACCCGGCACCCCAGAAGCGTTACCCTGGCACCTCACACCTTTATGTGAATGCAGACGAGTCTGCTCGCCGAAACAAGCAATCCGCCTGAGACATTCTCGCAACATGGTCTCCTTGTGGTTCTGAAGCAAGCGCCTCGCCTGAGACATCCTCAGCAACTGCTCTGGACGCAGACGAGTCTGCGCCAGGCGGTCGGTCTGGGCGAGAACCGGAGTGGCCGCGCGTCTTCCCAGCGCTCGGCCTTCCGAGCAGGGGCGCCCCAGGGGCGGGGTATTCCGCGCGTGCCTCCAGCGGGCCTCCCGGCTCCTCCTTGTTCTTAGGGTCATGATCTATATTACTCTCATGACTCGTGTGCCACGCTTCTTCTTATTCTTAGTCCAATTCCAATCGGGATACCACCCCGAGCCGGGGCGCGGGAATTGATTATTTTGGTGCGATTTGCGGGGTGCTAATCATATCGTTCGGCGAAAACCGCCCCCCAGAATTATTCAATTACGGTGCTGTGCTGATGATAACCCCGGGGGGTCCTTAATGGTTTCTTGCGGTTAAGGCCATCTTAGGGGCTCTCTTAGGGTCCCCGTGGGTGGGGCCTTTGGTCTTCCCATTTTTCGCTTCCAAGCAGAGCCATGTCACGCCGTGCGCCTCAAGGTTGGCGGCGCGTGCGTGTCAGTCCTTCTGGGATGCGTTGGGGCCGTCCTGGTAGAGTTTCTTAAAGCGCTGGAGAGCCATGGTAAATTGCCGCGTTTGTGTCGTTAGTGTGCGCCTTGTGGCCAGACCGACGTGCACTTGCTGCGTTGCCGGTTTGGCATTCGGCCGAGCGCTTCTGGCTTTGCGCCGTTTCGTCGTCTTGTGCGACGTGTGGCGCCGTGCCGGGTGCGCGGGGGGGCACGGGGGGGATTTGCGGGCGTGCGGATCGTTCGTTGGCGCACTAGGTCCGTGTCGCGCCCCTCGTGAGCGAAGTTGCCAGGGGCCAGGGATTGGCCCCCGCAGGCAAGCGCGAGGTGTGAGTTTCGGTTTCGCTGTTGGGATGATAAGCTCGAAACTCTCGCAACTTCCTTCGCCGAGCGCTGTTTGGGACGAGGGCGATGGGGCAGAGGTGGAAGAAGACGAGGTGGGGGACAGGTGATAACTACGTGGATCAAGATTCGGAGCACGATATCTCCTCGGAAATCTCCCTCGAAGGCCCCGCGTAAACCAGACGGAGGAGGAGTGTGGCGGAGTGGGCGAGACGGCGAGCGCCAAGCTGGACGCGATAATTTAAGCCGATGTTTAACATCATGGTCCAGGTCGGGGCCATAGTGTCTTGGTAGAGGGTGGCCGCTGGTAGTGGTTTTAGCGTCAACCTTGGAGCCTCTCATGCGTTTGCCTTCAGAGCAGCGGCGACAGCAGCGGCGGTGGCAGCGGCAGCGGCAGCGGCAACCGCGATCGGCAGGGGGCAGGAGCGGCAGCTGGCGGTAAAGGGCGCGCGGCGCGCCGCGCGCCGCGAGCTGCCCGCGCCTCTTCCGCGGCCTCCCGATCCACAGCCCCGCGCGTGGCGAGTTCGAGGCGCGCCGGCGCGCGTGGTGCAGAGGTCGATTCGGGTGCTTTGAGTCGGGGGTCGCTGCGTTGGGGGGTCAGCCAGAGCGACGGATCTTGCAGGCTCCTGCAGAGCTAGGGTTGTATTGACCCAGGCTAGGGCGCAGGATCAGGATCCTGCAGAGCCCGATTGAACCGGATTTGGACTGAGCCAGGTCAGTAGGTCCCCGATCGATCGGTCAAGCAATGGTGAAGCATTTTGGTTCGCCTAGAGGCCCCGCTGAGGCAGTCCCCCCTCGACGTGCCCCAAATTACCGGGCCCCCATCGCGGCGTAACAAGATCAAGGCGGACGGTGTTTGCCCAGTGTCGGCCTCCTGGGGCCCTCGCTTGGCCCCGGAACTGCCAGAACACGGCCCGGGATGGAAAGTTGTTATTGGGAAAGGGTGAAGCCTTCTGTGGGCCCGCGTTGAAAATTGCTGACGTCGGGGGTTTGCGTACGTGGAGTCAGCGGCGGCCCTCTTCTGCACCAGGCACATTCCTGTGCCCTTCGGCGCCCTTGATCAACGCGGAACGGCTTCGGATTGTTCGCGGATGGTGAGGTCAGGGGGGCAGATGATAATTGACATGCGCGTGATTTGATCGAGGACGTGGCGGCTCTTGTGTATCGAGCTGTCCTCGGCAATTTCCGCCGCCATGCAAGCGTAGCACCTTGCGTCTCCATTGGAATGGATTAGTAAAGCGTGACACCTCATGCCCGCAGGCTGGGAGACCCGTAACATGTGACATGCTCTTCCACGCCGTGTCGGTTTGAAACAAATATTGTGAAGATGGATCCGATGATGGTGATGATGGTAATACGGATGATGGTGATGTTGGCGATGATGATGATGATGATGATGATGATGATGATGATGATGATGATGATGATGTTGATGCTGATGCTGATGATGATGATGATGATGATGATGATGATGATGATGTTGATGTTGATGGTGATGGTGATGGTGATGCTGATGATGAGCATGCTTATGCTGATGGTGGTGGTGATGATGATGATGATGATGATGATGATGATGATGATGATGGTAATCGTGATGGTGATTGTGATGGTGATGCTGACTCTGATGGTGATGGTGATGGTGATGGTGATTGTGATGGTGATGCTGATGATGATGGTGATGATGATGGTGATGATGACGATACAGATGATGAAGATGGAGAGTAAGGTGGAGATGATGCTGATGCTGCTGCTGATGATGATAATGCTAAATGTGATGAGGTTGATGAGGATGATGCTGATGATGCTGCCAATGCTGATGCGGATGCTGATGAGGATCATGATGAGAAGGATGAGGATGGTGATGAGGAAGAGGCCGAGGCTGAGGCTCAGGAGGATGAGGAGGAGAAAGAGGAGGGGGAGGATGAGGAGGAGGAGGAGGAGGAGGAGGAGGAGGAAACCGAGGGGGAGAAACAAACGAATGATGCGGAGCAGGAGGGTCAGATCAGGAGGGTTGTTGTGGCGGACGAGGGGGTGAATCACATGCTGGCGATAGATTGTTGACCTCATGTTGCTGCTGATGGCGGTTGTAATGGCTGTCTTGGGCTCGTGTGGGGCATTCGTGGGTGTCACTTGTGCCACTAATGGTTTCTCTTGGGGTTTTCTTGGGCTGTCTTAGGCCCTGCTTGGACGTTTCTATGTCGTTCGCGGCTGGCGCGGGGCCGTCTTGGGGCCATAACGGGGCGTCGAGGTGCTCACAAAGAGGGATCTATTGGTCGTTCGTGAGGCCGTCTTGGAGGATTACTGGGCTATGTGTGGGCCTTCATGGTGCTATGTTGGAGGCATCTTGGGACACTTTGGCGGCCCCTTGGTTTCCTGCCTTGGCCGTCTTGGAAGTTCGGCAGTTCGGATCCACGTGTTTTTTACGATGGATTGTGGCCAGTGGAACGCGGATCATGTTCTTGTGAGAGGCAAACGGATCATGTTTTTGTGAGAGGCAAACGGGGGTGCAGCGAAGTGTGGTTTGGAGGGGAGGTCCCCTTACAAGACTCTTAGAGACCTCACCAGGAAGCAGCACGTGGCATTATACCAAATGCTAGGCTCCCTGAAGGCCTCCGCATGCTTTCCTTGGAGGAGGTATCCAGTGACGTCCAGAGGCTTTGGCGACGCCTCCACAGCTATTTTGTGGCCCCAGTTCTGCACATAATTCAGCTGCGGTGCCGCGCAGACCTGCACGCGCGCCGTGCGTGTGCGTGTGCGTGTGCGTGTGCGTGTGCGTGTGTGCGTGTGTGTGTGTGTGTGTGTGTGTGTGTGTGTGTGCGTGCGTGCGTGCGTGCGTGCGTGCGTGCGTGTGTGTGTGTGTGGTCGTGTGCGTGTGTGTGTGTGTGTGTGTGTTATGTGTGTTGTGTGTGTGTGTGTGTGTCTGTTGTGTGTGCTTGTATGTAGTCCCTGACGTGATTCACTCGCTGGCCACTGCCGCCACCGTGGAGCGCTGTCCGTCCTCGCCTTTTGGGCTGGCGCCCGCTGCTTCTCAGCGCTGGTCGGTTCCAGCCGTCCCCCGCCGCGGGCCCCCTGGGGGCACACCTGTGCCGCGCCCGCCCGCCGACGCTGTCAGCCCCGCCAGCGCTACCCGCTGCCTGGGCTTCGCGCAATGGGGGGGGGCGACACGTGGGGAGGCAGCGCGGGCTGTACAAAAGATGGCTTTGTAGGGCCCCTAAAGGGACCCTGCAGGGCCCAAGAGGGGACCTCTAGGGCCCGAAAAGGTGAAACATATATCTTTCTTCTCCCCACCCCATTTATCGCCCCCCCATGAAGCGACGCCCAAGCTTGCCCGCCCCCGCCCTTGAGTGGCTTGGCCCGCCGGTGCCCACTTGTCGCCGCCCTCTACAGCTCCCCGTTGCCGCCTGGTGCCTGTCGCCCCCCGCGCCACTGCCCCGTGACGGGCCAGCGCTTCCCCCTTTGCACATTTGCCGGTTTTCCAGGGTCAATCCTTGGTAGCCTCGTTCTGCACGACTTCGACTCTTCGAACGCTCGTGGGGCGTTCGCCCCAGGTGCGCGCGACCGAACAAAAGCGTGTGTGCACCAGCGGTGGATTTAAGAGGGGGGTGGAGGAGCAGCTGGACGACGCAGAGGACGGATAAGGAGCAGGAGAATTTGGACAATGTCCTCCTTGTCCGCGCGTCTGGAAGACGTCCTCCTCTCGTTGGGTGTGGATGGAGTCGGTGCGACCTCGCTCTCGTCTTCGCTTGTCTCTCGCAGGGCCCAACACTTTCCGACTCGGGGCGGGCAGTGGGTGGATCGAAAGTTTCGGTTTGGGGGGGCGCAAAGAGCAACCAAACGCAAGAGGAGGTGGAGGAGGCGGAGGAGAAAGATGAGAAGAGGGGACGGAGAGGCGAGGAGGAGGCGGAGAAGGAGGAGGTGGGGGAGGAGGAGGAGGGAGGAGGACGAGGAGATTGAGAGGCGGAGGAGGAGGAGGAGGAGGAGGAGGAGGAGGAGGAGGAGGAGGAGGGGGAGGGGGAGGGGGAGAAGGAAGATCTAATAGTAAGAAACGGCATAAGCAGGAATTGATGGAGATCCGCGCGGATTTCTGACATCGGCGCTGGACCGCCCTCCCTTGTGCGCGGGACCGCCAGAGGCGCCGCCAGGGGACCCGGCGCCGATCCAAGATGTCCGTTCGCACCTCCGAAAGTTGTCGTGTTTGCATGCTCTTGCTTTTCCTCGCACAGCGCAAAAATGATCATACTAATAATAATAATAATCATACTAATAATAATAATAATAGTAATAATAATAATAATAATGAGAAGAATAATAATAATAATAAAAAAAACACCCCCCAAAAAAAGATGTCTTGGCCCGTCCTGGGCCCACGGTCGGCGCGCACGCCCTGCTGGCTCGGCCAGGGAGCTGCGCGCTCCGACCCCGTGTCCGCTCGCGGGCGCTCCGGCAGCAAATCACGGGAGCCTTCTGTACCTCCGCAGCTCCGTCTTAAGAGTGCCGCAGCGCCTACACGCATTCGGCAGTCGACGAGATACCGCTGATGTAGCGTCGATGAGTGTCGATTCGCATCGATTCAGCGCCGATTCAGTTTCGCGCAGCGCCGATTCGCAAGAGCCAGCAGGATAGTGTAGGAGACGCCCGTGATTGGCCACAGAGCTTGCGTTTTCCCTCTATGGGGGTGGCATGTGTTTTTCTGGGTCGCCCGCGGGTGGTCTCGAAGATGACCGCGGTATTGGGCGCTCCGCGGCCTGGACTCCGGAGAGCCGCCCCTCTCCAGGGCTGGCCGTCGCGAGGGCGCCAAGACGACCGCGGCGAGTCGCGCGCCCTCCGCGAGGAGGCGATCTCGGTCGCAAATCATGGGGGCCTCGAACACCCTCGGGTTCAAAGTTTTAGTATGCTTTCGCGTGCGGAGTGTCGACTTAACGTCGATTTAGTGTCGGTCAGCCTCGATTCTCAAGGGCCGGCAAGACGGCACGGGAGGCCGGGGGGCTCCCGAAGGGGTGGCCTGGGCGCCGCCTCTCCGCGGGCAGCGGTCCTTGACCTGCGACGAGCTGGTGTGCTGAAACCCGCGGCGTCTCCTCTCGGTTGTGAAGGCCTCACGGCCGGTGCCGCCGACACTGAAGAGGAACGACGACGGCGACGACGACGACGACGACGGCAACGGCGACGGCGACGGCGAACAACACTGAAAAAGGCAGGGGAGGTAGTTCAATTGCCCTCTTCACTGGCAGCGGACCTTGACCTCCGACGAACCGGTTTGTTGAAACCCGCGGCGTTTTCTGACGATTTCGGCCTCCGGGGCCCGCCATCGGGCTCCGGGAGGGCGTCTTTCTTTGGACTCGGGCGAGTGAATTTGAGTGGCATTTCCCCCCCCCCATCTGGCCCATCCCCTCTCCGCCGCCTGTTCCAGCAATGCTGGGCCGAAACTGCGTGCAAGTGAGTCCCTGCTTGCGTGAAGTTCAGATTCCGTTTCTGGCTTCGCCACGCCCACCTTCTTCCCCCCTCCATGCAAGAAAGCTTACCAGGATCTAGAGGAAAAAAGCCTCTTGAAACCCCTGGCGTCTTCTCGATTTCAGCCTCTGGGGCCCGCCATCGGGCCCGGGGACCATCCCAAGTGGATCGCGGGCGGCCAGGCGACCCACATGCAGGGAAGGGGTCGGGATCTCTGGCGGGGGCTGTGCCTTGAAGGACATCAGTTCGTCGGATGGCTGGGAGCAGTGTGAAAGTGTGCAAGGTGCAGGTTGACAGCCCGACGACGCAGCGGCTGCGACGCAGCGTGGTGGCGGGCATCGGACCCGCTGCGGCCTCCAGCCCTGTCTCGGGGGCGTGGAGGGGGCGGACTTTGGTGCCTGCAGCCGGTTCGGGCCCCGCCGCTGGGCGCTTGCCTCTCGAGGTGTTGGGCGTCGGCGCTCAGCGTGCCCCCGTGGCTGGGCTGACCCGGCTCCGTAGACCTCCCAGGAGCCCGCCGCCTCCCAATGCCGCCGCCTGAGTCCGAGGCGTTCGCCTCCTGCTGCCTGCCCAGGCTCCCGACGTTATGCTTTTTTGTAATGGCGTCGACCCCGAGAGGTCTCGACACATTACCCAGAACCGGTTTTTCATCCTGGGTAGTTATTTGACGGCCCTAGGGCCCGGTAAGGGTCCCCGGAGGCCAAAGATGGAGAAAAGCCTCCCGCCGTGATGTTTTCCAGACTCCACGGGGGTCAGCCGCGCGCAGAGAGGGGGGAGGGGGGACGTCTTCTCGGAAGCAGGCTGGTTCTTAGAAGGCGCGGACCTTGCATCTACAGACTAGGCCCGCGCCTTCTGAGAAGCAGCCTCCTCCTCCTGCGAAGTCTTCCCCCCTTCATCCACCCCCTCCTACGCGCCGCCAGGAGACTGTTTTTTTTAAGGGTGAGGCGACAACCCGGGTTATCGGGCTTGCCCCCCCCCTCCCCCCCCCAGGACAACCTAACCTTGCAGGTTGTGTGCAGGTCCGGGGGGGGATGGGGGGGCGCGTGCATATGCAGGGCTGCCCACAGCGCGAAGGTTAGGTCATCGGCCGGCCCCCTCCCCCCCCCCCGATAACCCGGGGGGTTATCTCAGAGCGTGAATTACCTACCCCGCTTTCGCTTCCAGGCAAAACCAAGTCATACCACGCGCCTCCTCGTCAAGCGGCCTGACCAGTACAGGCCGTAGTTTGGCGTCGCTTGGTATCCCTTGGAAGCGAGGGTGGTCAAAAGCGAGGTAGGTTTGTTTGCCCCCTATTATCGCCGATTCCCCAAAAAACAGTCTCCAGGGTGGGGCCCGAGTGTGCCTCCCCCGCCCCCCCCCCTCCCGGAGGTGGGCGGCGCGGGCGCGGCCGAGCGGCCCGCCTCCGGCCCCGTCGAGCGCCGGGGGCCGGCCGAGGCCCGCCCCGCCGCCAGGAAGGGCAGAGGACGGGGAGGAGGGGCCTCTGAGAAGAAGAAGAAGAAGGAGTGGCAGAAGCGCCAGGGGGGGTACACCTTAGGCGATGCTTAAGAAAACCTAAGTTTTCGGCCAGAGTCTCGATTATTCTTAACGTTTCAATGTAAATCCTAAGATTTTAATGAAAATGTTGGGTTGTTATTCAAGTTCTGAGACTATGAATTTCTTAACCCATGATTTCTTAAGCATTTCGCAGGGTGTACAGGCGGCCCGGATTAGTTGGTCGCGACCCTGCCAGATGAAGGGTACCCTCGTGTCCTGTGCCTTGCGACCCATGCCTCCTGCATGTCTGTGGCAACGGTGGCCCTCGCCGCCAGGAAGGGCAGAGGAGGGGGAGGAGGGCCCTCTGAGAAGGAGGAGTGTCGGGTGTGGACAGAACCCCCACCCTGACACGTCGATTAGTGAAGTCTCCGTGTTCGGTTCTCGAGAGGGCGCCGCGGCCATCATTTTCCAGGCTTGCGCCCGCCAGGTTTGGGCCCGAGGTCGTTTTCACTAGACCACGTTTTGCTAAAGTGGGTTCTGTCCATCCCCGAAAGCGGCAGAAGCGCCAGGGGGGGTAGGGGGAGGGGGGATCGGGAGCCTTGAGACGGGTGCCAAAGCAGACGGGGGTCAGCCAGAGCGCCGGATCTTGCAGGATCCTGCAGAGCCAGGGGTGCACTGACCCGGGCCAGCGCGCAGGATCCTGCAGGGTCTCGCAGGATCCAGCAGGATGCTGCAGAGCCCGAATGACCTGGACTTGGACTGACCCCGGCCAGTAGGTCCTCGAGGCAGACCGTGAGAACAAGCAACGATATGAGCGCTGGGGAGGGCGGGGGTGGGGGAGGGGGCTCTTAGTAGAAGCACCCCTGCTTCTAAGAAGGTTTCCCCCTCCCCCCTACCCCCTTGTGCGCGCTGCCAAGGAGGGGGAGGAGGGCCCTGATGAGAAGAAGTGGCCAACGCGCCCAGGGGGAGGAGGGGGGAGGAGGAGGAACATCGACGAAGAAGACACGACACAGTCAGAAGGTTCGGAGCGCCGCGCTGCTATCTCTGGTCTGCGCTGGACCCCCCTCCTGGTGCAAGGAGGAGGTATGGAGGGAGCGTGACCTACACCTTGGGCGATGCTTAAGAAAACCTAAGTTTTCGGCCAGAGTCTCGATTTTTCTTAACGTTTCAATGTGCATCCTAAGATTTTAATGGACATGTTGGGTTCTTCTCCAAGTTCTGAGACTATGAACTTCTGAACCCATGATTTCTTAAGCATTTCGCAGGGTGTAGCGGTTGGCGTTGACCCCTTGGGCCCCTGTCTTGTCCGCCGGGGCCCCGCCCCGCCCTGTCCTCTTGCTGCTTCCTCGTCCCTGCGTTTTCTCCTGGCTTGCGCGCGGCCGCCCAGGAGATATGAGCTCCGCGGAGCTCCGCGCGGCTTTCTTTGGGCCGCCTCCTGGGCCCCCCTGGCGGCGCCTCTGGCGCCGCCAACTGGCTAGGCCCCCCCAAAAAGCCTCCTCCACACGTCTACCGCTGGGTCAACGCATGCCCTCTTCCATACCTCCTCCATGCGTCCTCCATGCCCTCTTCCAAGAATCGACGGCCACCGCTGGATCCCGCCCCCTCCATACCTCCTCCATACGTCGGGGAGGGGGTCCAGCGCCGATCCAATAAATCCCCGCGGACCTCCCAAAATAGGTTTGGCGGCTATGTACGCGGCGTCGCCCCTTCGTCGCCGCCCGTCCTCTGGGCTGTGTGGCCGGTCTGGCGGCTATGTCCTCGCAGTCGCCGCCTCGTCGTCGTTATAGGTTGCACATGGTATATTGCACCGCATTGATTGCACCTTATGAACTGCACAACATAGCTTTTACAACATGGATAGCACAGCTTAGATTGCACCACAGGCATTGCGCAACAGAGTGTGTACCACATACAGTGCACAGGACCACATCGAGTGCACCACATAGATTGCACCACATAGAGTGGACATTATACATTGCACCACATCGATTGCACCACTAGACTGCACCACATAGATATCACAACATAGATTTAATCGCATAAGGTGCAACAAAGGGGTACACAATATAGATAGCACCACACATATTGGACAGCAGACATTGCACCACCTAGATTGTACCACATAGACTGCACAACCTAGACAGCATGTACAAGTATATCACAGCGTATATTGCCATAAGCACACTGTTTCGGGTCCATGCTGGCTATATGTATATATTGTTTATGTAATGTTGCTGTTCCCCTGGAGGAGTAGGAGGAGGAGGATAAGGAGGAGGAGGAGCATGGTGAGGAGGAGGAAGGGGGGGACTCTGAGATCCTAACGTCGCATTTTTTCACAACGTTCGTTTTCAGCTGGTTTGGGTTCCTGGGACCCTCAAATTTGGATCTGGCTCGGAAAAAGAAGCAGAAGGACGGGGCCCAGGGGTCTGGTCGTGATGTTTTGCGATGTTGCACTTTTTTGAGACTTCGGGTCTCAGGGGATGGTGATGATGATGATGAGGAGGAGGAGGAGGAGCTGGGACTTCACAGGAGCTGCCAGGTCAAGCGGGTTGCCCAGCGGCGGCCTGTGCGCAACTGGAGAGCGCGGCGCCGCGGCGAGCGGGTGCGGGTGGCCCCTCCTCGAGTCCAGACATCCCAGATGGGGTCCGAGCAGACGGGGTCTGAACGGAGGCTGCGAAGGTCACCGCGGCAACGGGGAGCCTGCTTTGAAACCCTCGGGGCCACGACGCGCGTTATGCGCCCACTCCCCCCCCATGAACGTAACGCTCCCCCCCTCCCCCGCTTTGTGCGCCTCCGGCACTGGCATCGTGATGCTCGCAGGCTACTGTGGTGCTTGCAGGTTAATTTTCCGCACATCGTCGTGTCCGAGGACGCCTCCCAGGGCCTGCTGACCTTTCCAGAGGCCTCTGGAGATCTTTTGAGGCCTCGGGAGACCTCTGTCGATTTTCTGAGGCGGCCGTCGTCGTCGTCGTCGTCGTCGTCGTCGTCGTCGTCGTCGTCGTCGTCGTCGTCGTCGTCCGCGTCCTCGTCCTCGTCCGCGTCCTCGTCCTCGTCCGCGTCCGCGTCCGCGTCCACGTCCGCGATGTCGTCGTCGTCGTCGTCGTCCTCGTCCTCTTCCCCGTTGTCGTCGTCGATGTCGTCGTCGTCGTCGTCGTCGTCGTCGTCGTCGTCGTCGATGTCGTCGTCATCGTTGTTGCCATCGTCGTCGTAGTCCGCGTCGTCGTCGCTTTGGGGGTCGTCGACGTCGTCTTCGTCCTCGTCGTCCTCGTCGTCCCCGTCCTCGTCCTCGTCCGCATCCGTGTCGTCGATCCGATACGGTTTGGCTCTGTCACCCTGGGGGCACCGATCCCCCGCACGCCTCCCATGCGCGCGAGCCGCAGCCGGGCGCCAACGGCGCACGCGCACTAGAGGCCCCGAATCACGGCGCCTGGGGCTCCAACCTTGCCACACACTGCTCCCTGAGCGGCGCCAGAGCCCGCTGGCTCCGCCAGTGTAGCTGGTGACGTGGGGTTCCAGCTGCACTTCACCGCCCACATCCCCCGGGGCACCCCTTTGGCCGGCCGCCACTGCTCGCCCATGTCGCGCGCGCTGATCACATAGCACTGCAGTTGCCCTCCTCGGGCGCGCGGACCCCGAGGCTGCCAGCGATGACGTCGGGCCCTCCCGTTCCGCCACGCACCTCCCGCTCGGCGTCGAGTCCCACTGCAGCCACTCGGCCATCTCGCACTCGTGGATCCCAGCGCTGTAACCGATGGCACCAGGCGCTCCACTTTCTCACTGCCCACCGCAGTCGCGGTCGGGCTCCCGGGGCCCCCACACTGGCCGAGCCCGCTGCCGGCGCTTCCTCATGTGTGTTGTTGTTTTCCGCGCTGTGTTTGGCATTGTAGCTGCTGGCATGGCTCCAGCTTTTGCATCCCACAGTGCATCCCACACCCGTCCTTCTCGCAAGCATTGGTCTCGGCGTTGTAGCTCATGGCACTGAGCGCCAGTTTCGCATACCATGTGTTGCCGTCCTCGTCCTCGTCCTCCTCGTCCTCGTGGCAGTCGTCGTCCTCGTCGTCGTCATTTCATCGTCGTCATCGCCGAGGGCCTCGCAGGACCTCCAGACGCCTTCAGGGTCTGCGGAGACCTCCTTAGTCCTCCGGAGATTTTCCGAGATCTTCAGAGCCGGCCGTCTTCGTCGTCGTCGTCGTGGTCCCCGTCCTCGTCGTCGTCGTCGTCGTCGTGGTCCCCGTCCTTGTCGTCGTCATCGTCGTCGTTATCATTCCCGACCAAGGCCTTGTCCTCGTCCTCGTCGTCGTCGCCCAGGGCTTCGAAGGGCCTTCAGACGCCTCTGAAGGACTCCCGAAACCTCAGGCCTCCGGAGACATTCGGGAGACCTTCAGAGGCGCCATTCGTCGTCGTCGTCGCTTGAGTCGTCGTCATCGTCGTCGTCATCTTTCTCAGTCCTCGTCCTTCTCCTCGAGCGCGTCGTCGTTGCCGAGGTGCTCGAGGCGCCTCCAGACGCCTCCAGAGGACTCCCGAAACCTCCCTAGACCTCTGCAGACCTCCAGGGACATTCAGAGGCGTCCTTCGTTGTCGTCGTTGTCGTCCTCGTCGTCGTCGTCGTCGTCATCCTTGTGCTCGTCGTCCTCGTCCTCGTCCTCCTTGTCCTTCTCGTCCTGCTCGTCTTCGTCGTCGTCCTCGTCGTCGTCGTCGTCGTCATTACCATCTCGTCGTGGTCATCGTCATCCTCAGCTCGGGCGCCCTCGTCGTCCAGCTCACACCAGCACATAATAATGCTTGAAGCAGGGTGTGGGGAAAGACACCTTGGTGCTGCACATATGCACTTCGCAGTACATTGGCGATGTTGTACACGCTGCTGTGGCGGTACATACTGTGCTGCGCACTATGGTGCTTGCTGTGATGCGTACAGGCGTTGTGGTGCCGGAGCCACACGGCTTTGAGGGTGGCGTTACGGCTTTGAGGGGGGCGTTACATTATGCCCCCCCCTCCGTGCAATCGGGGAGGCAAGCAACGGGAGTTATAGGAAAATGTCCCTCAAGGGCCCTAAAGAGTCCTCAAGTGCCACTGTCGGCCCAAAGTGTACACGAACGGTGCGCGTTTCTTCTCTCCCCGTTGGTTGCCCCCCGTTAGCGAACACTCCAGCAGCGCGGAGGCTGCAAGAGTTATCGCGCCCTCCGTGCGAGGTGGAGAGGACCGACGGGGCGGATGCGCGGGAACCCGGAGGTGGAGCTCGGAGGAGAAAAAATACGATACCGCTGCTCGTCCTGGAGGTACCGCGGCGCCCGAGACATCCTCCGGAGCCGCCGGATCTCAGATATTCTCGATTTATCCTCACCCGCATTTGTTCAGAGCCCCGAATCATCAGGGGTAACTCGGGTCAGGGCTAACTCGGGTTCCTTTCTCGGGAATCCAAACCCGAGTTACCCCGGACCCGAGTTATCCCGGATAACTCGGGCGTCCAGAGCCCCGAATCATCAGGGGTAACTCGGGTCAGGGCTAACTCGGGTTCCTTTCTCGGGAATCCAAACCCGAGTTACCCCGGACCCGAGTTACCCCGGATAACTCGGGCGCCCAATTTGTCCTTGCCCTGGCTTCGTCTCAACATCTGGATTCTCGTCGACATTCTGGTCGGAGTGCACCCCGGGAGAGGTCCGGGGAGCTGCGGTGTAGCATTGCTTCTCCGTCCTGCCAGGGGAGGACTGGCAGCGGCAAGGGCTCCCACGAGGGCGCGAAGTTATTCGCGCTTCGCGCTTCGCGGTCCTCGTTCCTTCTCCCCCTCCTCTTCGTCCTCCTCTTCTCCCTCTGGGGGGGCGGCGCGAGAGCGCGAAGTTATTCGCGCTTCGCGCTTCGCGGAGCGCGAAGCGCGAAGCTGGGAGCCCTAGCAGCGGCCGCCCTTGAGCCAGGGGGCCCCGGACGGGCAGCTCGGAGGATTTTCCTGATCTCCGGCGGCTGTTCTGCATCCCTCCTTGGAGGAAGACATCACCGCGCCCCTAGTGTTGCCTCGTGTTCTCTCTTGCGGACCGCTTGGGAGGCACTCGACGCCACCGCTGGATGCGCCTCGAGGTCCTGGTCAGAGCGCACCCCGGGAGAGGTCCGTAGAGTGGTGGTGTCCGTACCTTTGTGGTTTCCCCATTGTTTATCCATTTCAGCATCTGGTGGCCGTGTTCGGGCCCTGGGACCACCGAACATCCTGGTAGGGGCCTGTGAAGAGGGAGCTTGGAGGGAGGGTTTATTCCGACATCGTTGGTGAGTCTTGGGTTTGCGCTGGTCCCTCCTCCGTCTCCTCCGTCCTTCCTCCTCGTTTCTCCACCTCCCCTTCCTCCCGCCTCCTCCCGCGTGTTCCTTTTTCCCCTTTCTCCTCTCTGTTTCACGTCCCTCGTTCCACGACCCACCTTCCCCTCCTCCGTCTCCTCTTTCTTGCTCCTCGCTCCTCCTGCTTCTCCCCCTCCTCGTCCTCTTCCTGCTCGTTCCTCCTCCTCCTCCTCCTCCCCTCTTCGCCCCCGCGGAGGACGGTTTCGCGGACCCCGCGGATGTCTCCGAGGCCGCCGACCGGGTCAGGGCGGCCGGCCCGCCTTGTCGCTTGTCCCATGGGCGTTCCGTTTTTCACCCCCCAGTGGACAGGATCCATGGGGGGCACTGTCCATGGACACCGGCAGGTGCCCCCGGTCTCGGAGTGCGCACGCGCTCGCTGCCGTCGTCGTTCGAACTGCTGCACGGGTCTCCGCTCCGCTCCGCCGCCCGCCCGCCCCCCCTCCCCTTTCCGCATGCGCTGCGGCTCAAGCCCCTCCAGTCCCGAAGGGGGGCCCTGACGCGCGCGCGCGCGCGGGAGCCACGGTCGGCATGGCCTGCTCCATGGACAAGTGGTTCGCCAAGGGCTGCCATCCGCAGTCCATGGACAAGTTGTTTGCTAGGAGTTCTGGGCAGGGAAGCGGTTCCGATCTCTGGGGGTGTGCTGGCAGTTTCCAGAGATCAACATGGAGGTGGTTCGCTTGCCGTGCTCGGGGTCGCAAGTTGCGTGGCGCATGCTGCGAGAGCGCGGCCTGACGCGACTGGTGTCTGCTTCGACCCGATGGCCTGGGGCTCTATGGCAATGCTGGGCCGCGCGTTGGCAGATGGAAGCTGCTGCGTCCGTGCGGCAAGGTGGGAGACTCGTCAGCGATTGTTTCTTTGGGGCCATCGGAGCTTCCATGGAGCAGATCGCCCGTGAGTTTCGGAGCGTCGCTGAAGGCGATCGGAGTGCTGGACTTCGGCGTCCTGTTCCTGAGGCCCCCAGGCGCGCGCGGCGGCGGCCGCCTCGCGTGGGCGCTTGCCGTCTCTCGCCACGGCCGGTGCTCGCTCGAAAGTTTCGCCGCCATTGTGTAGTGGGCATTCGCGTTCTTGGGTCTCTCGTCGTCGTGCGTGGTTCCCTTCGCTTTAGCTGGGCATTGGCTCGGCGCATTGAGCCTTGGATTCGGCTGGAGGTGCTTGCGTGGCGTCTTGAAGGTCAAGACCCGCCCCGTATCTTCAGGACACCTTAAGACCTCTCCTCCTCCTCTTCTGTTAGGGCGTTGGTGGAATGGGAGATGGCCCACTTCAACGTGAGGAGGAGGAGGAGGAGGTGGCTGTCATAGGTTTGTCATAGGTAGGCTGAGCTTTTCGTCGTGGCCAGCGTGCCAGGGGCCAACGGATGGCCCGCATCATGAGGATCTCCCTCCTCTTCTCGCCATTGAGGAGCAACAGCGAGAGAGAGAGAGAGAGAGAGTGAGAGAGAGAGAGAGCGCGAGAGAGCGCGGCCAGGAACGCGCGCACGTCTTCCCCCCTTCAACAGAATTGTGGGAGGTGGGATGCTGGTGCGCGCTCTCACGATGCGTGCGTCCCAGCCCATTCCAATCCTGCCTCGGCGGCGCCCGAGGGTCAGCCCCCTCTGCGCTTCCGCTGCCATGTCGCCCCTTTGAAAAGGGGGATGCGTGCTATAGTCTAGTCTGTAGCACGCATCCCAGCGGGCACTTCGCTGTGCGATTTAGGGTGGCGGGGTCTCTCTCCGCGAGAAGGGCATTGCGAGTGGCGCGACTAGAAATATGCCGCGCGCGTCGTGCGCGGGGGTCGCGCAGGATTTAATATGATGATTCCGGTGAGGGTGAGGACGGGGATGGTGATGAATCGAATGAGGATGATGACGAGGACGATATGCGAGTTTGACGTGACGGTGCGGCTAGCAGCAGTGATCCAACGATGTTCCTTATGATGTTGTTGTTGTTGTTGCTCGTGATGGTGACGAATATGCGGGTGATGATGATTTGGGTAACGCGGAGTAGCATGATGAAGTGGCGTGTAAGGGGGAGGATGGGAATGGGGATGCGGCAGGCGATGGGCACGACCATTGCCCGCGCTTGTGTCTGTAGCGTTCCCTGGGTTCCTCCAACACCTTACCCCCCAGTCTGTGCTAGAACCAGGACGCCCGCGAATTCGCCCGCGATGGTTCCAACACATATGTGTTTATATACACAATTTTTATAATTATAACTATACGTATGTAAATGTATACATGTATAAGCCTACACATGTGTATGTATATCTCTATGGATGTATATGTAATGGCCCGTCCTCCCAATTTCCCCATCCAATCAAGCTACAAAGGGTACGAAGGTGGTGGATTCGGTGGGATCTGCCCTGCCCTCGTGTTTGTTCCCCTCTCGGTTTGCTCCCCCATTTTGCCCCACCCCTATTCCTCTTCCCTTTTTCTTACGTTTTTCTCGTCCTTTCCCTCACTCTTTTCCGCCTCCTCCCACTCCTCCTCCTCCTCCTCCTCCTCCTCCTCCTCCTCCTCCTCCTCCTCCTCCTCCTCCTCCTCCTCCTCTTCATCTTCTTCCTCTTCCTCTTCCTCTTCCTCTTCCTCTTCCTCCCCTTCCTCCTCAAGATTTTAGCACAGCCGCCTTTGACAAGGCGAGCGTTCCCAAGGCGAGCGGCGAGCGCCCGTGAAATGCGCTCCATATTACAAATTTGCTGCAGAGGAGATGCCTCCCTTGCCCGGCGCTGCTGGCGCCACGCAGCCAGCCTTGCAACTTGGGCCTTCGGGGTCCGCCAGTGCAAGGGCGAGCGGTCCACGACGAGTTTGTCAGCAGGTCGACCCGCCTGGTGGAATGGGCTCGTGTCCCCGGCATCCCTTGGCGGTCGAGAGGTACGCGGTGTTCAGCAGCCTGCGCTCATAGCGTCGCTGTCAGAGGGCACCGGCCCACTCGAACCGACCTTCGCGGCTTGGGGCCATGTGCTCGGCGACATCTGCGTCGCAAGTGTGTCCAAAGGCTGGAGTCTCAGGAATCATCGGGAGCGAGAGGAAGGACGAGAACTTCCTACGGTGGGTGGCGGTGGCGACAGGTGAGCACATCGCGCTGGGCGGGTGACTGGCGGCAAACAGTCCCGCGGCGGCCGTTTACCTGGGACGAGGCAGTCGCAGCCGCCGACATCCCCCCCCGCGCGCGCGCGCTCCTCTTCGGCGGCACCTCCACCACGGATTGGATGGACCTGGACCCCGTCGACATGACCGGTTGCGCAGAGGACGAGGAATTACCCTTCGGCGGCGGCGTTGACGAGGAGCTTGGCGCACGGCAGCATGGAGGAGTGCGCGATCGAGGTTGCTCGACGGGCGCGCTTGGCGGGCTGGCGAATGCTGTCCTGGGTGGCGGCCCTACCCCCAGGACTGCGCCTCCCGTGTCTACGGGATAGATTGCCCCGTGTCATTGCGCTTCTGCAGCACGTCGGTCGGCCCAGTGAAAGGGGCGCCCACGTTTCTGGAGCGGGGCCGTCGTCCTCGGCATCCCTCGGCGGTCAGTAGGCATGGGCTCTTCAGCGGCCGGCGGGCCCATCGCTGCCGCCACAGGGTTCAGTAGCAGGCTGCCTGAGCCGTCCTCTCAGCTATACCTGACGGCGTGGACGACGACGCCCCCTTCGCGATCTCCGCCGCCACGTGGTGGTGCACGGGGAAGAACCTGTCGCCTAGCCTCCCGCCGTGGGCTGTCATCGCTGTCTCTGTGGCCGTCCGCGTTGGCGGCCAGGGCATCCACGACGTTAGCGACCAGTTCAGAAGGTGGGTGCGCCATGTTGAGCATGCTGCTCGCCGCGGCTGGCGGTCGCGCGCCGTTCCTCTCAGCGCGGCGCTCCGCCCTCGCGGGCGGCCGATGGCGGCGACGGGCTTTCCCGCACAACCGATCGACCGCTTTTTATTTCGATTCTCGTCCTCCTCCTCCTCTTCCTCCTCCTCGTACTCCTCCTCCTCCTCCTGGAAGAATGCAGTATGCCTGGAGGACCCCGAGATGCTCGGGACATGCTTGAAGTACTTCCAGGCGAAGACCAACAAGCAACACAACCAAGGTCAGGAGAAAGCGCTGTTGACTTGTTCATTCGACTTGCACGCGCCCGACTTGAAAGCCGCGCCCGAGGTGGTGGTCATGGAGATCAAGAGGAAGGGAGGCCATCGCAAGCTGGGAGGAGTTCCTCAAGGCCCGATGTAGCGCGGGCTCACGAAGCTTGTCTACCCGAGGAGTTGAACATCGACCCGTTGCTGAGGCCAATCGACTTCGAAACCGTGCCCGGCTAGCTGGTCACAGCTCCGCCGAGGCGCCTCCGCCTCCGCCTCCGCTGAGCCGCAGTCCACTGAGGGCGACTGCCAGGTCGGCCCCGCTTTCTTTTCGTGAACAGATTCGCTACTCGGCCCCAGTGACAGCAGGGAGACTGACGCCTAGAGAGCCAAGCCAGCCCGTTCCGGTGTTCCAATCCAACCTTGCCCCCAGATTTCTCACGCCTCGCCCTGGACCGCCACGCCCACTGAAGGGCAAAGGTAAAGGTCGCAAAGGCAAAGCAGGGATAGCATTTGCATCGCCAAGATCGGTATTCCCAAGTGACCGCAGGCGACTAGCCAGCCATAGCGCGGGAGCGGTTTGCGTGCAGGGCCAGTGCGTTTTTGTGACGCGTGCGCACCTGCGCGAGTGAAGCGGCTTCCCTCGATAGACCCAAAAGTTGGACTGACGTAGTACAGTCTGTTGAGGTAGTATAGCTGCGAAGTCGTGACGTCATGTTGGGTCCGATCAGCCAGTCAGTCCTTCTCTTTCTCCTCCTCCTCTTCCTCCTCCTCCTCTCACTTCTTCTCCTCCTCCCGTTCCCCTGCTCATCGTCGTCGTCGCCCTCCTCCTCCTACTCCGCCTCGTTGTCGTCCACCTCGTCCTATGACCGTTTTCCTCGAACGGCCCACTTCCCGTGGGCGCTGGGCCGCCAGGTGTCCACCCGGGCGCCGTCTACGTCCCCTGATCCAGGGGCGCCCTTCGACCAGCGGACCCGAACGGGCGACGGCGGCGTTGGGTCATGGGAAATGCAACGGCGGTCGGCTTCCTATCGTTCGGATGCAATTCTTGGAGGTTGAATTTAGAGTTGACGCTGGTATATCCGTGGTCGATATCTTTCAATCCGGCTTATGCCAGATTGATCCAGCGTAAGGATGTGTTTAATCTGGCACTATCGGGCTCAGTGCCCCCCCATAATCGGGTTAAGAATCCCTTCATATTTCCGACGATTACCCCTCAGGGCTTGCCTCCTAATTATCGGCGGCGGTGCGCCGGGGAGGGGGAGGAAGGCAGAAAGCGCGGGCCTAGTTCAAAGGATACGAAGGCTTCCAGTTTTCTAAGAAGCGTTTTTGTCCATCTCCGAGACCACATGGACGGATTATCAGGTGTCAGAAGGGTTGGGGGGTTTTTCAAACCGCGCCACTTGGTGGGAGGGCCTGGCATTTCACGTCCCCCCTTCGGCGCGGGAATCATCGTTTATCGCGCGTTTCGGCCTTGGGCCAGAGAATCGCCTTTTTTCGAGGTGGTTTCACGGGGTGCAGAGGTAACTACGCGTCGCAAGCCAGGGGGCGCGATGTTCATAGTTCTGTGACTTGTGTGTTGAGGGGGAGGGCGATGGAGAGGTGGCCAGGGTTTGGGGTTTCGAGGGAGGAGGGATGGACGGGGAATGGGAGATGGGATGGGAGTTGGAGGGGGGGACGAGTGTAAGGAAGGAAGAGGGGCGTGGGGGGGTGCGGGATCTCAGATGGAGTGAGGGGGGGAAGCGGCCGAAGGGAACCGGGTAAGTGTGGAAGGGGAGGGCTGGAGGAAACAGGGCGGGAAACGACAAACATATGAAGCAGAGGAAGAGAAAGCAAAACATGCGGAGGCCGACGCTCAATATCCGGAGAAGGACATGGAATATTGGGGTGGCCGTGAGGAGGAAAAGAGACATGGGAGAAAGAGGTAAAGGAGGAGGATGAGACGGCAGATGATGATGACATGGTTGATGACATGGGATGCTGAAGGAGGAATTGTACGAGGAGGAGGGACTGCATGAGCAGAGTTTGAGCAGGGGGAGGAAGATGAGGAGGGGGAGAATAAGGAGTCTTGATGAGACGAAGGTTACGGGGAACAGACTGAGAGGTATCACCACTACCCCCGCTTGCTGGTTCCGATATCACGCTTCATGTTTATACCAATTGGTATGTTTCATTGGCCTGTGGGCGTTGTCCTGTGTTCTCAGACACAACTTGTAATGTCTCACATGTTGGCTGACTTCCCTTCTGATCACGTCAGGACGTTGATCAAACAACAAAGTACCAGTTGCAAGTCTAATTATACACGCGTCGCGTATCCCCACCAGGCCGTTCAGACACGTTGCTCGTGAGAGTTGACGGGAAAGGGGACGAAAGAGGCACATATAATTATTGACGTTTCGCGTATTCCCTCGCGCCTTTGGCGGCTTCCTCCTTGTGGCCTGGCCCTCACTAGTTATCTGGCATTGCGCCCCTGTGCCTGTTGAACACGCCCTCTGGACTTTTCCTTGCGGGCCGCCGAACAAAAAAAAAGTATTTCCACCAGTTGTCTCGGTTACACCGCACAGCCGTTCGGCTTGTGCAGGTCGGCAAGGAGTCTGGCGCCGCCCTGGCGACTCACTTCGTTGCATCCGTTCATTCTTCTCGGCGGCCTGATCACTTCGGTTCGGGCTGCGCTGAAGTGCGTTTGCCCTGTGAATTTAGTTCATTTTGTTTTGTGCACGTGCAACTGCGAGTTTGTCTTGCAGATGCGAGCTTTGTCCGCCGACTCTGGCGGCTAGGTTTGCCAATTCGCCCCGTACCGTGACCCGGACGCCGCTTCCGCTCCCTGTCCGTTGCCTCGGAGCCGCCGACCAAAAAACTATCCCCACCAACCTATCCAGAAACATATTACCAGGCGAGTTGTTTTGACCAGGGACGTGTAGAAGCATGCGGTGCAACAGCCGCCTTGGAAGTCTTGTCTCAGAGCTCTTTAAGAACCATGTTGGGTCTCTCTCGGGGTCCTCGCGGAGCCACTTGGGGCACTCCTGGGGCCCTTTTGGGGCTCATTTTTGGGGGGATTTGGGGCCCTCTTGGGGCTCTTTGGGGAAGTCTGGGAGGCCCCCAGAGGCAATGTTGCGCCCCACCGTTCGCAACGACAGGGGGTCGTAAATTCATGCGCCCCCCTCCGGAGGCTCCCAAATGGCGCCTTGGGGCGCGCGTGGGGCTCTCTTATGGGGTGGGCTCGGAGCCCTCTTCGGGCTCTCTTGGGCCAGTTTGGGGCCATCTTGGGGCTTCCGAGGCACATCGAAAGCGAAAAGGCGAGCAGGCACACTTCATATCTTGTCCTTAGTTTTAGAGCAATGTTTGCCTCTGGGGGGGGTCCTTGAAGGGCTCGGAGGGCACTTGAAACCGTCTTGGGGCCGTCTTCAGACCTCTTGGTCGTGTGCCGGAGCTTATCTTGAGCCATCTTGAGCTATCTTGAGCCATCTTGAAGGCCATTCTGGGGTCTCAGACCAGCTCCAGCGCCTGCGCCACCACGCCACGGTGCTTGCATCTGACGGGCGCCACCACCTGGAAGCCGGTCTTGACGTCCACGATGTTGAGTATTTCCAGCGCCGCGCCCGAATTCGTGTGCACCGTGAACAGGTCGATCGCGATCTGCTCGCCGAACTCCTTCACCTTCTTGAGCCTCGCCGGGAACCGGGTGTGGCCAGCGGCGGCCCAAGTCTCGAGGGAGCGTGGGACTGTACCGGCCACGGCGTTCGACGTGGACGCCTGCCTGACGCCCTCCGTCATCGAGGACTCGCTGCTGCAGCTGCTGATCTGCGAGGCGGGGATTTATCCATATCCACCGCCTGGGAACCGACGTTTTGGTGCCCCAACGGGCGGTGGATATGGATATATGTTGGCCCCCGGGGGCCTGAATATATCCATATCCACCGCCTGCCGACGTCCCCGAAAATTTACCTTCCAGGCGGTGGTCATGTGTAAATTCCCACCTCGGATGATCGGCAAGGACGCGCTCCGTGGCATGGGCGCGGACATCAATTTCGCGGAGGGCACGTTTAAGTCGGACAAGTTTGGGATCGCGCCCAAGCGCCTGAACGAGACCGGCGGAGGCCACTGCGCGATGCCGATTTTCCAGAGAGAATGCTGGAGGCCCCCGACGGGGTGTCCGTCGACCGCGACCGACGCGGTGATCAGTGTGCGGTCGAAGGTCAAAGAGGCGCCGATGTTGTGGATGCCGCGACAATGGGCATCCTAACAACCCTATCATTAAACTGGCATGTGTTTGAAATGTAAGAAACATGTTCCAAACATGCTTTAAACATGGTTTTACATGTTCAACACCATGTTTAACTCATATCTTAGACATCTGGAAATTATTTGGCAACACGTTTCCTCTCCATTGGTCGTCCTCCACAACGCTGATGACGGTGCGTTCGGAGCTTGCTGCGCGCGAGGGTGACCAATGAGCCGAGGAGGAGACCGTGCCCGATGAGCAAGGAGATGATTGGGACACGCCCGACCAGACGCCCGACCAGGCAGACGTCTCCCACCTACAAATGCGGGAGCGCCAGGACGCCAATGCCCGGGCACTGAAGTCCTCGAATCGCGATGGCCCGAATTGGAAGCTGGTGAAGGCCCGTGAGACGTTTTGTGCAGACACGGGGGACGTCATCGAGGAGCTGCTGGATCAAGGGCCTGCCGAACGAGGAACTGTTCGAGCCGCTGGATCCTCCGAGGAACATCGCGACGAGGCTCTACTGGGAGTCTGAGCCCCCCAAGGTGAAGCCGACCCAGGCGCCGAATTCGGAGAGTCGGCCGCTGCTGTGCGACCGCGCCCAGCTGCTGCGGGCCCCCCGGGACGTTTTGGAGGACATGGCGGAGGTGCGGCAGATCTCGCGGGCCCGGCATCTGAGCATCAGGGTGCTGATTCACCGGTTGATGGAGGCGGGCGCAAAGGCGAGAAGAAGGACCCCGCAGGAAGAAGGCAAAACGCTCGTGAGCGTCGGGGTCCCGCCGGCACTTCGGGCGGCTGAAGAATCATGAAGTGCTGCGCCCGAGATTCCAAGTTCGATGGCGCCGAGTGAATTAGCGAGGAGGCGCATGCGGGTGTTGCCGCCGATTGGGGTCAGGAGCGAGCAGGAGCTCGTGGACTATGTTCGTGACCGCGAGGTCCGGACGGATGGCAACCCGGAGCTGATGACGATGCCGGCGCTGAAGAATGCGGCGTGCGCGTATGACAAGGTGCTCTTCGTCCGAGGTCGGTCGGCAGCGAGAGGGCCAGCGTCGATTGGCGCAGGACCTCGACCCCTTCCTTTTGACCATCGAGCGCGACCTACTGCGAGAGGTCCACCGGCGCTCTCGAGGCTCGAGGTGGTTGTTCGCAGCCACCATGCTGGGAATGGTGATGCCTGTGAAGATCGTGAAAGAGGTCAATTTCACGGACCAGGCCGACCTGACCCCGACGGTGGAGAAGATGAAGAACGGCACCAAGACGTTGATGAAAAATCAGCTGCGCTCCTTGCAGCGCGCCCTGGCCGCGGTCAACATCAAATTCGAGGCCTACTTGACGGAGTTCGGGTCCCGTTTCGAGGCAGTGACGAGCGAGGCGACCAAGTGTCAGCCCTGGATCACGGAGGTCTTCGCGACGAGGGAGGCGGCGCGTAAGGAGTCGGCTCGGCAGGGGCTCTACTGCGAGGAGCTACTCGCAGGAGTTCGGGGGTGACCTGAGGTCTCCGAAGAGGCAGCGCAAAGTGTAGCAGGACATGGTCGCGAAGAAGCCGATGCTGGCACTGATGGCTTCCCCGTGCGCGCCTTGGAGTAGCCTGATTTACTTTCAGCAAGATCAAACGAAAGTGCGGGAGAGGCAGCTCCGAGAGCTGCCATTCCGCAAGTTTGTGAAGCAAGTGGCGAACGCGGTGAAGAATTACGGAGGTGTCTGGCCGATCGAGAATCCGAGGTCGTCTCGGGCTCGGGGCGCGCCAGAGGTGCGGGAACTCCTCCAGC